GAATATCTTCTTTGAAGTCTTTGAGAAACTCATTCAAAACATCATCTATTCTCTCTTCTGTAAGTTTCTCAGCATCACTTAACACCCCTTTGGCCCATTCATTTGGTATGTGCTGAAACAAACATGCATAGCAGGATAATTTTTTTAAGTTTTCTCATTATGAGAAAATGCATATGAAACAACAACCTGATGAGATGCCAAAAATATGAAAACTCTTCGTACCTTTAACGATCCCATGCCGGAAGAAAGACTGACAACTCTTGGTGAATCAGATAGCTAAAGGAGAGGAAGGAGTGCTTTGGTCATTTTCTTGGCACCATAGTAGTTTGTTTTCACACATACTTCAGCTAACTCATACGTTTGAGTCATTATTTCACTCCAATTTACTCCTACACCATCCTGCATCAAAGAAAAGAAAGATTGCATTTAGCTAGTGCATTTTTCAAATTAAATATTTGTATTTGAAATTTTATATATGAAAAGTTTTAATCAAATCCACATATAATTTGGAATCTTTAAGATGCTAAAGGAAAACTTACCCTACCAATACCTGCACTGCAGCTGCAGCAGCTCTCATAGCTTCAGGGTCTACAATGGTTCCACTAACCCCTGCATTATTTACCTATAGATTACCAGTAAGTAACATAGTGGAAAGTCAATGTATACTTTTCATAGTTATATGAAATTTTTTTAACATGAGCATGAACAGAGTGATAGAGAAGTTGATCGTATATGGTTTCTTATCATACCAAGATATCTAGTTTCCCAAATTGGGTTTTGACAAAATCTGCAAGGGAAGCAATGCTAGCAGTGTTTGTTACATCAAGTTGATGAAAAACCACCAGGTCAGAGAGGCCACACTCTTTCAATTTTTCAATAGCTTCGAGACCCATTTTCTCATCTAAAGCAGTTAACACCACCATGATCCCATTTGAAGCCAACTTTCTAACTGTTCCAAATCCAATCCCCTGATTTGAACCTGTAACAACTGCATACCTGAAATAAAAAGAAAAGAGAAAAGGAAAAATGGTATTAAAATTTAATGAAATATGGGTTGTGGTGGCTTAAAAACATCATGGAAGGAAGCAGCAGGTGGTACTTATTCTTTGCTACTTCTGTCATTGTTGATGGGATTCCAGATTTGCTTTCTGATTTCCGCATGACCATATAACATGGGCTTTGTTTCTATAGTAATTTTTATTCTTATCATTTCTTTTAAAATATTCAAGTTCTGGTCTTTTATTGCTCTGTATTGTTTGTTGATATATTCTTTTGTAGATGCTCTCTTCTTTTTTGACTAAACAAATCAAGGTTGATCCAACAAATGAAACAAATTAGCAATAGTATTATAATGCAATTTGAATCCAATATCAAATTTCTCCTTCCCTTTAGAAAAAGGTGCCAAATTTGTTATTATGTTAGTGAAGGATCCACTGACAATATGTACTAAAATAAAAATAGGAAAAGATATATGTATTTAAAAAAATTGCCTTGCTAATCAACAAGCAAAAGAAACATACAGGTGTAGCATCACCTTGCTAACCAACAAATTAAGAAGTGGAGAATATCGAAGAGCTTAAGCCGCTACGATTAGGCCAATAATTTATGTCAAGGTGATGGCCTACTTTGGTCCCATTACACATGAGTAATGCATATGTTTTGAAGAACAAGCAGGATGTTCACAAGCATGTGCGGTTAGCAGATTAGCACTTAAGAATACTTTAGAGAATATATTTCCTCGTATTAAGCAAATTACACAAAGTCCCTATTTGTACAAATATAGGAAGTCTACTTAAGGTAGGAAATAATATAGACATGAATACCATCCGATTTACAATAGGAAAGTTAATTGCTAGGAGGAGATTGTGAAGTTGACTTCCATGTGTGCTAGGAAAGGAAAGCTGCAAACTTTCAAGGACAAAGTGGTAGTCCAACCCAATGTGACGTGTGCGGGCATGGAAAACTGGGTTGGCAGCCATGTAAGTGGTGCTGAGATTGTCACAATAGAGTAGGACCGGGAACTGAAGACGCACACCCAATTCATGAAGAAGGGAGCAGGGCCAAGTGATTTCGGCACAAGCATGAGAGAGGGCACGATATTCCAATTTTGTACTAGAGCACGAGATAGTGGGTTGTTTCTTGGAAGACCAGGAGATGAGGTTGGTTCCAAGAGTAATCACATAGCCAGTGGTTGACCGACGAGAATTAGGGCACCCAGCCCAGTCTGCATCAGAATAGGCGGAGAGACAAGTTGCGACAATTTGGGGAGTGAAGGTGAGGCCGAGATCAACAGTGCCCTTGTTTGCAGCAACAAAGTGAGAGGTACGAGGAGCACTCATGAACTGAGCAACGATGTTGACAGCAAAAGATATGTCAGGCGAGTAAGAGTGAGATACTGTAAACTACCAACAAGCTCGCAATACTCAGTTGGGTTGGAGATGAGAGAACCATCAAAGAAAGAGAGGAGAACCTTGGCAACCAATGAGGTAGATGCGAGTTTGGAGTTGAGAAGATTGGCTTTTTGTAAAAGTTCATGTGCATATTTGAGTTGATTGATGTGGAGAGTACCGTCCTTATAAAGAACTTGTAAACCCAATAAATAGCTGAGCGGACCAAGGTCTTTGATGTCAAAGTGGCCACCTAAAAGAGAGATGAATTGTTGGGGATGGGTGGAATCACTGCCAGTTACCACGATGACATCAACATATAGAAGAAGAAAGATTGTATGGGAGGCTTGTTGAAAAATAGATAATGAAGTGTCAGCTTGGCTCTGTGAAAAATCCATAGAGAGAAGGAAGGTGCTGATGTGATGGAACCAAGCACGAGGTGCTTGTTTGAGGCCATATAGTGCTTTGTGGAGCTTGAATACAAGTCTCACACTAAAAATCAGAAATTTTTACTCCACTAAATAAAGATGGAATCAAAGACTGTAAATAACCAAAGGAAACATGGCCCAACCGTCAATGCCATAACTGAATCTTTTTATGCTTCTCACTGACGACGCCTAGAACTAGATGAACACAACCCGATGCAATGTCATTCACATGGTAAAGCCCCCTTTCTTAGTACCAAGCCAAATGATCTCCCTAGTCTGAACATCTTGAAGCAAACAAAATGGGGAGAACATGAGCACGCAGCAATCTAACACTTCAGTAACTTGCCCAACATATAATAAATTATGGGACAAAGCAGGAACGAGCAAAGTTTTATGTAAAGAGAGGGTAGGAGTAAGAATAATAGAACCAGCCTCAGTGATTGAGTTAGATTCTTCGTTGACAGTAACCACACTTGTTTTAGTAGGAGCAGTCATAGAATGGAAAAAATATTTATCATAAGTCATATGATCAGTAGCACCATAATCTATAATCCAACTTGTATCTCACTAGTAGAAAAGCGCCAATGCTTTACCTTGATTACCTTCGCAGTCAATAGTTTTTGGAAGGGATAACTGAGAGAGAATAGTAAAATAATCATCAAGGGAAGAAGCAGCCGGGGACAAGGTCAGCAAACCCGAGGTAGCATCGGCAACTAGGCCAGCGGAAGGCTGGCCAGTTGTTGCTACAGTAGCTACACCACTCCAGCCATTTTTTTCTTCACATGCATAGCCTTTCGTTGCTTCTGGCTTTCAAGGAATTATTTCGGAGCCCATTCTTGTGAAAACAAGTGGCCTCTATATAACGGTTCCTATTACAGTAAGTGCAATGCACGTTTTCTTTTTCGTCAAAGGTTGAAAGGGGAAAAGAAAAACTAGCAGCAGGGGCTTTGGAAACCATAACAGCAGAGGATTCAGTCTTTCCATGCTTCCTGAGCATCGTCTCTCGGCATTGGGCCTCTTTACAAACAAAAGCAAACGACTCCTCCAATTTAGGCAATGGACTCAACCTCAACAAATTTCCTCGAATTTTATCAAACTCATCATCTGGATGTGCAAGAAAATCATAAATAGTCTTTCTGTATCTCATCATGTCAAGTCTTCACATCATAAAGGCACTTCATGTTGATTGGAAGACGACGGTTAAGTTCCAACCAAATGCTCTTGAGCTCAACAAAGTATGAAGTAATATCGTGATTCCCTTGAGTAATACGAGTTGCTTTACACCATAATTCATAAATCTACGAGTCATCAAACACATCATAATACATCTGGATTGCACTCTCCCAGACATCTTTAGCGGTTAGTAGATCCAAGAATAATTCTACCAAATATGCTTCCATGGTTTCTATCAACCATCATTTAACAACGGAGTCCTCAATACATCGTGAATCAAAGCCCAGAGCGTCCTCCTCCACTTCAACCACCTTCCCTATCAGATAACCTCTTTTTCCTTGACTTGACACATGAAGTAACATCATCTTCGACCAAGTGCTATAGTTCTTTCCATTCAACCGTATGGTGAACAGGCTAGCAGAATTATCATTGTGAACTGTAACAATTGGTTGCAGCATGTCAAGAGTTTTGCGGGTCTCTGAAGCACTAGATTTGGCAGCAGTGCTTGGGGTGTCTAGGATATCTTCGAAAACCATGGAGGACAAAGAACAAGTTTGGATGGATTTGCTGTTTTAGAAGTCTTTTTCCACACTAGGTTTGTGACGACAAGGGTTCGGCCACTATTTTGCGACAACTGTTTTTTGTTTTTTGTTTTTTGTATTGATGTTGACGATAGATGTTGCCTATGGGCTAGGGTTTTTTGTGTTTTGTTTTGAGAGACCGGTGTTAGCCAGCTCTGATACCAACTTAAACTAAAACACAAGATTGAATGATTGTGAATTATTTTTCATATTTCTCCATAAGGATGATATATATATAAGTACAAGTTGACTTTTTCTACAAGGAAAAGTAATTAGCTAATTACAAGGAATCATAACTAGGTAACTACTCTAATTAGGTAACGTGAATCACACTAGGAAATCAAGACTCACACCAACAAAATCTTCCCTCTTTTGGCAACAACAACAACCAAAAAAAAAATTACCCTCACAAGTAATACAAGGAAAAGATGAGATGCGTAAACAGCATAAGAATTTGACTATGTTACAAATAAGCATTCTTGGAGATCTGTTAAGAGCCCTACAACTTTAACTAATAACTTATGATAGCAAAAAATTATGCCAAAAAAAAAAAATCAGGTGTCTATAATCTATCACACTTGCTTTGCTGCTATCTACGCTTCAAAATGCCGTATTCCACTAACAAATCGTGCAGGAACCATCTTTGGCATGGCTTCAAGTGTCCCAAATCATCACAACAGCTATTACCCCGACACCCAACAAAACTGCCAAAAACTTGTAATGGGGTTTGTCGATGGAAACTGCTTTGTCGGGTTTATAACCTTTCGCCAATAGATGGTTTACTGCTACATAGATGAACACTCCACATGCTACACCCATTGAAATCGCAAATATCCAATCTGCCGTAGCTCCTTGGGTTGTCGCATCTATTAGGATTCCGATGGCCACACCGATAGGACTTGAAATAGCGAATGCAAAAGCATAGGCAGCGCACGATAAGAGGGGACGGTTAGGCATCATTCGAAGGAGAGCAATGCCCATGGCAATGGCTGCAAATACCTTGTGCAGAGAAATTGTCCATAAGGCTTTCCAAGCATCGGCTTTAGTGTCAGCGACTCCAATTGCAATGCCCTCAAAGACAGAGTGGAAACACAAGGCCACTATCAACAAGATGCTATCCCCAAGTGAGCTAACATTTGCAACAGCCACGGTCGCGAAGTGGTTATGGCTCTGTCAGGGCAAACAAAAACAAGTATCCCGTTAGTCTCAGATCCACCACCAATTACATGCCCTATACATATGGAGATCCTGATACCACCAGTAGATATGAGAATTCGAGAACTACATATGTCTCACCTCATTGCCATTTTGACCACCCTTTCCCTGCTCAGCACTCCCTGTAACAAAGAAAATGTGTAAATTGATTGCCATAAAAACCTTTACATCTTTTTGGTAGCAGAGACAAAAAAATCAGATAAACATGAAATTTTTTTTAATAGCACAGAACTACCTTAAGCCTAGTTTTGCTTCTTAATGTAATGTCACAACTTAGCCATGGTAAACAACAACCCCAATTACTATTCTCAGAAAGAATACACATACACCAGACAAAGCCAATTTATACTTTTAGCGTGTACCCAAGCCGTCAAAAGAAAAGTAAAAGAACAGAAATAAGAAATCCCACATCAAATCCAATGAGCATTTGTTCTAAAGTC